TGCCCTTCTTTGGAAGAGGGATGCGAGAAATGAATCACTCCAACAGCTCCTGCTTGATCTGCTGCTGGTGGAGCTTCTGCAAAGAGGGTGAGGGGCCAGGCGAGAGGTGTCAGTTGTCCCTTGCCCTGGGCCTGGACCCCACAGCGGGACACCCTTTAGAACTCCTCCCTGGCTTTATTTTTTTTCAGCGCCCCCCTTCCCCAACACGATTTGGCCCACATAGGAGTCATCTGCGTAAGACCTCCAGCCCAGAGAGCTGGACGCTCTCTGGCATGGAGGACAGCTGACGGTCCTGCGTGCTGAATTCAGATCTGAGCCAGACAGAACTGGCCTGTCCTTCGACACTCAACCTTCCCATCCTGAAGCAGGGGTCTGCGGCTGTGAACCTGACATACTGACCAGGCTCCAACCCCGACAACCTACCTGCTCCTGTCCAGGGGAAGGCGCCCCCCTTCTCCTGCTAATTTCCCCCAAACACAGGGTAGGGGCCCTCAGCACTCGCCCCTAGTGGGCCACAGTTGGAGGCCTGGGCCTGGACGCGGCCTGCCCTGGGCCCTGGTGCTTACCTGGGTGGGTGCCTTCTGGCCAAAGGGCCCAGAGGCGTTCGAGGCTGGGAGTGGTTGGCACCAACTGTCTATATTCTCGAGAAACAGTCTCATTTTGGCCCTACTCCTGCGACGGAGGAGGTGCCAGGCATGTTGGGACACAGGCAGGCAGAACATGGTTTGCTTCTCTGGGAGTGTCGACTATCAGCCTGAGCCCTGAAATGCGGGGCCTGTGGTGTATATATGGGGTGCCTAGTTTCACCAGAATTCTAAGTTCTGTTGGGGTCTGTCAGTAAGTGAAGTGAGGTCACATCTGTAGCGTTCCATCCTGCTAAGCCACCTCCTTTCCATAAGATTCCTACTCAAAAGGCCCACTGGCGCTTCTGGCCCCGCCTCACCCTCCCCCATTCGTTCCTTGGAAGACGGGCTCAACTTCTAGGAGCGCATGGGGTAGACTTTCCATTCAAAGCGCAGCCCCCACTTGCTAGCTTGGTTATCTTGACGGAGTCATTAGCAACATCCCTGTGGCCTGTTTTTCTCCTCTGGAGAAAGGCCGTCAGTTGAGATTGCTTCCCTTATTTAATCACAGGTAAAATAAAGCATGCAAGAGAGTTAACTTCGGTGCCATTGGTGGCCGGAGTGGAGAGCCAGCAGAACCGGAGGACGTCAGCTTGCCCCACATCAGTGGGGTGACGACTGCGTGGAGATATGGGTTGGAGGCTGGTGGCAGGAAAATTCCAAGGGGCCCAGCCTGCCGGAGGGCCAGGAACAGGTGAAGGGTAAGAGTGAGCTCCTCACCCCTGAATTCTCAGGGAACAGAGACATGCAGGGGCTGTGGGGAGCACAAATCATCAGGGCTGGCTCTCGTTCCCCTGGTTCCCTCCGTATCTGTGTAGTCCCAGGGCCCCTCTCCCTGTGTTTCCTCTCTGGCCCTGCTTTCTTCCTGGCTGCCCTCCCAGGGACTATTTTTGGCCCTGATCAGGTGGAGTCTTGAGGTAACTATAGGCCTATTAGTAACTCCTCTGAGGTTCAACCCACCTTTTTGTGAGACTCTGAGCTTAGTCAGAGACCTCCCTTCCTGCCTGCGGACTTGGAGAGGAGGGCTGGAGGGAGCTGACAGGTGCAAATGGCAGTTTTTCCTGGGGCTGCCGCTCCAGGGTCCAGTTGGCAGGTATCTGCTGAATTTGAAGCTTTCTTTTTGGGTCTCTGGGGTTCTGAGGGTGTGATTTTCCCTCTGAAGACAGGCGGAGCCCCTGGTGGGTGCCTTCACCTCAGAGAAATGGGCTCCCCCTGAAGGCTGGGAGCTGTGCTCCACCCTCGTGTGCTAGGACACCTCTCACCTGGCCCTGCCCCATTCTGGCTTCTGAAGCCCACAGGAGGGGTCTGTAGAAATTGCTAGATACGAAGACAGGGCTACAAATAAGTCACAGGAAGTGCATTTACATAACTCCGTGTTTTCAGCCATTACTCTACTTTTATTCAGCAGAGGAGATATTTTTAAATGCGAATACCCTGTGTCACCCTGCGGAGATTTGGATTGATTTGATGGGGCAGATGACAGGCATCTTTGGTTTTTGTTTGCTTGTTTGATTGTAACAGGATCTTGTGCTGTGGCCCAGGTTGTAGCACAGTGGCATGATCATGGGCACTGCAACCTTGACCTCCCAGGCTCAAGGAATCCTCCCTTCTCAGCCTCCCGAGTGGGGGGACTATGGGCATATACCACCATGCCATGCTAATTTTTGTGTTTTGTAGAGACAGGGTCTCACTATTCCACCCAGGCTGTCCTTAAAGTCCTAACCTCAAGCTGTACTCCTGCCTCTGCCTCCCACAATGTGAGTTTACAGACATGAGCTACTGTGCCTGGCCCTGTATCTTTTAAGAGCTTCCCTAGTGCTTTGAAGAGGCACCCAAGCAAAGAAGGCTTTGCTTGCAGAAGGCTTGTGGAACCCTGTTGAGGCTGCATCTTCTTCACAGCCATCAGATTGTTCCCTGAGGTATCTGCTTAGCAGTGCACAGGCTATTTACATGGAGGGCTTGGGGAGCTGTGGGGTTTGGGTTTGGCTGGGTCATGAGTGTTGGCTGTGGGATTGTCACAACCTGGTCCTATGGGACACCCAGTCTGGGATCCTTCTTCCCAGACCACCATCCTGCCTGTCACCGCTCCTATGGCAGGTCCACAGCTGCTTGCTGGAAGGGTGTTGGGAAGTATTGGTCCTCCAGCTGTCACGTCCTCCTGTTCGGCTGAATCCCAGCAATCCTCACTTGGAATCTGGGTCTCAGAAGCATGTGGCCCTGGGTTCTTGGCTGACTGAGCTGGTGCTTTTGCAGCCTCTGGGGCTCTTGTATGTGAGGCCTGACCTGAGTTGCTTCAGGAAACTTTTACCCCTGAGGCTGCTTCCTGCTTAACAGCAGAATCTTTGTGTGGAGATCTGGCTGGCCTCCCTGGCCACCATTCGAGGCCTGTCCTCATATTTTTATCCCTCTATTTTTTCATCTTCCTCACCAAAGATAGGTTGCTTTATCTTGTCGGTTTTTTTTTTTTATGTGGATTCCTGAACCCCATCCAGCCCCTTGTTCCCTCCCCAGCCAGCTCACACTCATTTGTCACAGCTCCTGGGACTCCCGTTGACACATAAAGAACAGCCCCCCACAGTAGACTGTGCTGTTCTGTTTGCACCCTTAAATTTATCTTGCTTACAGAATGCCACTTCTGCAAACCAGTCAAGAAGAGGGAAGTGGCTCGTGGATATGCACCCTTGCTCATCCTGTTTGAAAAGGTAACCAGCTCTGATTTCTTTTTTCTTTGAGAGGGAAGATCATTCTTGTCACCCAGGCTGGAGTTCAGTGGCACAATGTTGACTCACTGCTACCTCCGCCTCCCGGTTCAAGTGATTTTCCTGCCTCGGCCTCCCAAGTAACTTGGATTACTGGTACGTACCACCACGTTCTCCTAATCTTCTTTTTAATTTTTTTAGTAGAGGTGAGGTTTCACCCTGTTGGTCAGGCTGGTCTTGAACTTTTGACCTCAAGTGATCCACCTGCCTTGGCCTCCCAAAGTACTGGAATTACAGGCATGGGCCACCATGCCTGGCCCCAGTTCTGAATTCTTAAGAAACTCTCGAGAGGTTCTAGGTCAGCACTGATAGACCTGGGTTCTGCAGTGCTGGGTGTGGTGGCTCACACCTGGAATGCTAGCACTTTGGGAGACCTAGGTCAGAGGCTCTCTTGAGCCCAGGAGTTTGAGACCAGTCTGCACAACATAGACCCCATCTCTACAAAAAATTTAAGATTTGTTGTGGCCAAGCAAGGTGGCTGACACCTGTAATCCCAGCATTTTGGGAGGCCGAGGTGGGTGCATCACGAGCTCAGGAGTTTGAGTCCAACCTGACCAACATGGTGAAACCTCGTGTCTACTAAGAAAATACAAAAATTAGCTGGGTGTGGTGGTGTGCACCTGTAATCCCAGTTACTCAGGAGGCTGAAGCAGGAGAACTGCTTGAACCAGGGAGGCAGAGGTTGTAGTGAGTCAAGATCATGTCACTGCACTCCAGTCTGGGTGACAGAGCGAGACTCCATCTCAAAAAAATAAGAAAAATAAAAAATAAAATTAGTTGATTATGGTTGTGCTTGCCTGTAGTCCCAGCTACTTGGGATGCTGAGGTGGGAGAATTGTTTGAGCCCAGTAGGTCAAGGCTGCCGTCTGCCATGATTGCACCACTGTGCTCCCACCTGGGGGACACAGTGAGGCCTTGTTTCAAAAAAGAACCCTTGCAATGATAGAAATGCCCCATATATGCACTGTGTGAAATGGTGGCCAATAGTTACATATGGCTATTGAGGTCTTGATATATGACTAGAATAGCTGAATTTATTTAGTTTAATTAACGATATAGATATTTTTGACACAGCCTTACTCTGTTGCCCAGGCTGGAGTGCAGTGGCATAATCACAGCTCATTGCTCAACCTCCTGGGCTCAAATGATCCTACCTCCTCAGCCCCCCAAGTGGCTGGAACCACAGGCATGCGTCACCACAGCTGGCTACTATTTAAACTTTTTTAGAGACTGGGTCTCACTGTGTAGCCTAGGCTGGTCTTGAACTCCTGGGCTCAAGTGATCCTCCTACCTTGACCTCCCAAAGTGCTGGGATTACAGACCTGAGCTGCCATGCCCAGCCTGGTTTAATTTCATTATACATACATACATACATACATACATACATACATACGTTTATTTACTTATGATAGTGTCTCACTCTGTCACCCAGGCTGGAGTGCAGTGATGCAAACACAGCTCACTGAAGCTTTGACCTCTGGGGCTCAAGCAGTCCTCCCATCTCAGCCTCCCAAGTAGCTGGGACCCCCAGTGTGTGCCACCATGCTTTGCTAATTTTTGTAGTTTTTGTAGAGATGGGGTCTTGGCTATATTCCCAGGCTGATCTGACGATGATTGAATCCTGAGCTCAAGGAGTTCCTCCACCTTATAGGCATCCAGAAGTGCTGAGATGACAGGGCACCTTGTGTATACCCATTCATGCACTGTTCTCAAGGCAAATGTGAATTGATATCTGTTCCCATTCATCTACTTCTCATCTCTATCGTAGCTGTGTCAGCCTAAGACTGTAACCAGCAGATAGAGATGGAAAAGTAAGATGAATGGAATACAAATCACATTTATAAATAAAGCAGTTACTAAGTAATGACTTTTCTTTTCTTTCTTTCTTTTTTTTCTTTTCTTTTCCTTTTTTCTTTCTTTCTTTCTTTCAACAGAGTCTCGCTGTTGCCCATGCTGGAGTGCAGTGGCACGATCTCTGCTCACTGCAAGCTCCACCTCCCAGGTTCACAGCATTCTCCTGCCTCAGCCTCCTGAGTAGCTGGGACTACAGGCGCCCACTACGATGCCCAGCTCATTTCTTGTATTTTTAGTAGAAATGGGGTTTCATCATGTTAGCCAGGATGGTCTCGATCTTTGACCTCGTGATCTGCCTGGCCTAAACTTCCCAAAGTGCTGAGATTACAGGTGTGAGCCACCATGCCTGGCCATGTTGTTTTTTTTTTTTTAAACCTCCATTTTCTTCTGGGTTAGATCATTCCCTGGCTGTCTTTACCCTAGCATCAGTGAGTCCTGCAGTCACTACAGCCCCCTGTGAGGTCAGATATTTTCGTCACCATCAAGTGGATCTTTATTTTTTATCTAACATTTGCAATTCTGCCAGTTCTGATTCTTAAATTCTCTTTGTCTTGAATTCCAGGATCCATCTCTGATGTTCAGTGAAGACGACCAGAACAGTCTGCTAGAGCAGTACCATCTGGGTCTGGATCAAAAATGCAGAAAATACGTGGTTGGAGAGCTCGTCTGGAATTTTGCCGATTTCATGACTAACCAGTGTAAGTGGCAGTTTGGCTCATGGGATAATGTACCCGTCCTCATTTTTTCAGGTTGCCTTGCCCTTTCTGGATATTTTGGTTGTAAAAATATTGGAAACAAAGTGAGAAAGCTGGTTTAATCCATGTAGGTCGCGCTGAGGATTTCCTAGGTAAAGGAAGTTGTGCTTAGGAAGTAGGAAAGCAGTCAGGCCCTCGTTTCCCAAATACATTCAAAAAGCAAACAGGAGAGTCTACTACAGTGAGGTGGACATGGCTAGCTTGCCTTTTTCTTTGTCTATTTCATAGCCAAGGATGAAGGAAAAACTGGACCTCATTATGGATTTGCTTTTGGGATACAATGATTATTCCAGAGGAAGGTACAAAGCCTGAGAAGCTTAAGGTATTTCAGTGTGTTTTATATTACTCACTTGCAAAAAGCAGGCTCATCAAACACAGGTGAGTTTCAACACATCTTGAATATGGCAGCATTTAAAGTCTTCAGACTGGGCATGGTGACTCATGCCCGTAATCCCAGCGCTTTGGGAGGCCAAGGTGGGAGGATCCCTGAGGCCAGGAGTTTGAGACCAGCCTGTTAAGCAGAGCAAGACCCCATCTCTACAAAAAATAAGCACATTAGCTGTGTGTGGTGGTGTGTTCCTATAGTTCCAGCTGCTTGGGAGGCTGAGGCAGGCAGATCGCCTGAGCACAGGAGTTGGGGGTTGCAGTGAGCTGTGATTGCACCACTGCACCTGAACCTGGGTGAGAGAGTGACACCTGTCTTAAAAAAAAAAAAAAAAAAAAAAAGAGTCTTCAAAGACCAGATGATCTGTGATGTCACGTTGGGTGACTGAGGGGCTGCAATGTTTGCAATGAATGTTTCCCATTTCTTCTTAGTTTATTAACTTACCATCCTTGGCAGTTTGGTGGGTTGGAGAAGGATATGGTGATGGCGGGAGTTACAATACATTACTTATAGGGGAAGACAGGCTTTTGAAAGGTTAATGCTTAAAAGTGAGAATGGAAAAGGGATGAGTGAATGAACAAGATGAAGTGAGAGGGAAGACGTAAAGGGAAAAGGAGAACAAGAAGCTCTTCTCTGCATGGCACCTGGGATGAATGGTTTCTGGGGACATCCCTGATGGCAATTTTGTGGAGAGGTGCAAAGATTTCTTTGGTAAGAAATGAGCTGTAGGCCCAGCGCAGTGGCTGACAGCTGTAATCCCAGCACTGTGGGAGGCCAAGAAGGGCAGATTACCTGAGGTCAGGAGTTCAAGACCAGCCTGGCCAACATGGAGAAACCTTGTCTCGACTAAAAATATAGAAATTAGCCGGGCGTGGTGGCAAGTGCCTGTAATCCCAGCTACTCAGGAGGCTAAGGCATGAGAATCGCTTGAACCCGGGAGGTGGAGGTTGCAGTGAGGGAAGATCACGCCATTGTACTCCAGCCTGGGCAACAAGAGTGAAACTCCATTTCATGGAAAACAAACAAACAAACAAACAAACAAACAAAAACAGAAAAAAACCCAGGGGGTCTGCGCGCAGTGGCTCATGCCTGTAATCCCAGCACTATGGGAGGTGGAGGTGGACAGATCACGAGGTCAGGAGTTTGATACCAGCCTAGCCAACATGGTGAAACCCTGTCTCTACTAAAAGTACAAAAATTGACTGGGCATGGTGGCAGACGCTGGTAATCCCAGATACTTGGGAGGCTTGAACCCAGGAGATGGAGGTTGCAGTGAGCTGAGATGGCACCACTGCACTCCATCCTGGACAATAGCACAAGACTCCACATCAAAATAAATAAATAAATAAAATTAAATGAAGAAGGAGGGGGACGAAGAGGAAAAAAAAGAAGAAATAGCTAGGTGTGGTGGCTCAGGCCTGTAATCCCAGCAATTTGGGAGGCAGAGGAGGAGCAGGAGGAGGAAAGGAGGAAAGGGAAACAGCCAGGTCAGTCGTGGTGGCTGGTGACTTTGAGGAGGAGGAGGAAGAGGAGAAGGAGGAGGAGGAGAAAGAAATGGAGGAGGAGGAAGAAACAAACAGCCAGGCCTTGTGTAGTGGCTCATGCCTGTGAGGAGGTGAAGGAGGAAAATGAAATGGAGGAGGAGGAGGAAAAAGAAATGGAGGAGGAGGAGGAAAAAGAAATGGAGGAAGAAAAAGAAAAGGAGGAAAAAGAAATGGAGGAGGAGGAGGAAAAAGAAATGTAGGAGGAAGAGTAGGAAAAAGAAATGAAGGAGGGGGAGGAGGAGGGTAAAGAAACAGGAGGAGGAGGAGGAATTGGAGAAGGAGTAGGAGTGGGAGGAGGAGGAGTTGGAGGAGGAGGAGGAATTGGAGGAGGAGGAGGTGGTGGGATTACAGGTGTGAGCCACTGTGCCTGGCTGGAAATCACATCTCATCATGAGATCTGGAGGGCACATACCCGAACCACATTAGGCCTTCAAGGGAATTCCGCACGTAGGCTATTCTTGAGAGTCATGAGCAAGTTGATAAGAAGAGGTAGTAATTGGCTGGGTTGCACGGGCTCCACACCCGTTGTACTTCCAGCAGCTTTGGAGGTCAAGACAGATAGATTCAACTTGAGGTCAGGAGGTTCCAGATCCAGTCTTGGTTTACATTGGTGAAACCCCATGTCTACTGGAAAATTACCGAAAATTAAGCTGATGTGATAACGGGATGCCTGTTTATTCCCCAGGCTACTGGAGGAGCTGAGGCAGGAGGGATTGCTTAGAACCCGGGGTAGGGGGGGATGGCTGCAGCGGGGGCTTTCGGATGGCCTTGCTCTCCAGCCTGGGAGAAGAGGACTCCGCTCGAAAACAAAAAAAAAAGAAAGGAAAAAGATAATAATAGCTCAGAACAATAGCCACCCAAGTTGGTTAGAGCCACAAGATATTTGATCCCCTATAGAAAGTAAATATAACATCTTGACAAATGTCCCTAAGTTGTTTTCGGAAGCGCAGATCTCCACTGGATGAAAAATGGTGACAGCTTTCCCTTCGACCTCAGATAAGGGTGAACCGAAGGCTGAACTCTCACTGGTGTTCTTTGTTCCAAATTTCTTCCTGAGGGGCCTGGAGGGAATCACACTCACAGGCAAAAACTTAACACCCCTTCTGCTGACCTCAAGGTTTTAGATAAAGCTTTGCTTTCTTAGTCAACTGTAAACTGAAGAAATATTTGAATTGGCCAGGCATGGTAGCTCAGGCCTGTAATCCCAGGACTTTGGGAGCCTGAGGCGGGCGGATCACCTGAGGTCAGGACTTTGAGGCCAGCCTGGTTAACATAGTGAAACCCTATCTTTGTTAAAAATACAAAAATTAGCTGGGT